TTCGATCAGCAGAGGGCTCGATCTAACGGATAACAGGATAACAAAGCAAGAAACACAAACACACTCACACTCTGATCGACAGAACAAAAGGATCCTGGCTGGCCGGCCGGCTACTTTTTTTCTTTGTTTCTCTGCCTTTAATGGAGTGCAGATTAATCTCTGCAATCCACGGATGCAACAAAGCAAGAACACTAAGCTAGAAGGACCAAGAGAGCCACATATCTCTTCAGAAAAAAAAAAAGAGTGGTGTGCAAAAGGGGATTTGCCCCCCAAGAAATAATTGCATCGATGAAGATAATTGCAGTGTGTGTGGATTGTGGAGCCGGCATTATTTGGACAGAAGCAAACAAAAATTTCAGCAATAATTCAGTGATCACCAACGGACAAACAAACAGGACAATGTGTTGTACATTTTGAGCTTCGAATTGTACTTAGGTGTTTCATTTCGATTAACACGTCGGCGCACAAATCATCAGAACCTGGATGAATCATATGAATGCTGTACGCACGATTGAAATTATAAACTCAAGACGAATCATGCATGAGTTCAAATGCTAGCTGTAATCCTGTAACATGCACGGTAGTATTCATTTGCTGTATAATTAAAGTCCAAATCAATCAGACCCCCCAACGGCGTTAAATATCAAGAACTTCGCAATCAAATCAAGGACAAGTTAGTTTAATTTCCATCCATAAACAAGCTCTTCTACACCTTCCAGCTCGCTGTCTTCGACTTCGAGATCTCAACATTAAACCACTCAATTTTCTTCAAACTTGTACATGTGGAGCTCGATGAGCCATCAAGCATTTTTCCCATCGATCTCAAAGCATCAAATAATATCGTAGCATTTTTGATTGGCTGCAATTGTCTACGTAACTCACATCATCAACAGCCGGGGCCGGTAGGGAGGAGAGTTATGGTATTATAATTATTATTAGCTCTCTAATTCACTGCAGGGAAAGCGATTTGTTGAGACAATCATGGAGTTTTTTTGCAGCCTCAAGAATTGGAGGGTCACTTTCTCATGAACAATGGACACTTGTTGGGTTTGTGTGGTTTGAGACTGTGCCTTCACCCAATGGCATCACTTTTTTCTGATTTAACCATGCAAATGTGCATTCCTGTGTAGTACCCTCTCCCTGCTTAAACCCTAAGAAACTCTCCTTTTGTATGGTTTATTAGAAAAGACTGATTACTGCCTTGATAAATAAAAAAAATTCCAGTTCAACTTATATTTCTCTTGCTTTCCTTAAATCATAGAAAGCTATATGTCAAACAAATATCAAATTAAGAGAGAAATCTTATACTGCCTCAGTTCTCGAATAATTGACACCAACACTTTTCAATTTTAAACTTTAACTGCTTAATTTTTTTAAAAGCTTATAAATACTTAAACCATATTATCGAAGTTTGTATTGTCGTAAATATAGCCATACAACTTTCATTTGATATAATATAAGATAAATTTTATAGTTCTTGAGGAGATATCACTTTTTCTATTATAAAATTGGTATCTCATGGTACCTAGGTAATAGGAGGTATCAAATTTTACACTAAATTTTTGGTACCTCATGGTATGTCCTCAAGGGCTATAAAATTGCTCTATTCTATAATCACTTAGAATTAATTTTTGATTAAAGCAAAATAGCCGTAGTCAACAATGAAAAATATTCAAGAAGGTAGGGAGTAATACTACGAAGTTGTATGGTGCAAGGCTGGTCAAAATAATAAACACATTTGACCATGGACTAGTTTTTTTTCCCCAAAAATAATCCAGCTTCGCAAGCTTTATGTTACTTAGAAAAAAGGAGCACTGTATAAATATAGTTATGGAAGACCAAGGAATAGCTAGTGCCATCATTTTAGCCCATTTTATCGAGTGGGATGGCCAACCAAAGGGAAAATGACGCATTCTCTAGCTTTACCTAAAAACACCTTTGGTCTAATAAAGCCATAACACTATCAAAGGGGTCTTAATATATGTGAGGTTTGAATCAATCTAACCAAAATTCCCCAATGAATCAAAGACGTGTTAACGTGTGTTTCACATACTATATATACAGTACACAGACGCGTAAAATCAACTAAAGGAAGAGGGAAATTACAAGGAGAGCACGGAATATATGTGCATATGTGTCGTGAACCTCATGGTTTTCATGTCCTAATTGTTGCATAAGCTTGGTTATTTCTCTTAGTGTAAACATGTGGATATTTGATTTCTCAACCTTGAGGGATCTCCATATAGCTAACTATTTTGGTCAGTTAATTTATGGAAATTAATACAAATACTAATTAATATACTATACAATTTGATATGTCCATAAGTTATGCCAACTCCAAATTAGTGATTACTAGTTTGTTAGAGAAGGGATGTAACTAGGCAAAACTTTCGAATAAACTTGAAGCAAATTCTTTTGCACCCATGTGCCATGTGGTGTGTAAACCCATGTGGTGTGTAAATATTAATAACTATTTACAAATAAACACCCTTTTTCACTAATTTACAGGGATTTTTTTCTCATTAAAATTAATTTGGTGATTGGGTAGTGCTAATGCACCCAAACGTTAATATATAATCAACTAATGAAAGTGTATGGATAAATTAGAAATTGTACCTTTAATCTGAAAGTGTTTTCTTCTAAGTGCTCTATGGCGTACACCATGAAAACTTTTCAGCATTATGTGCAACAAGCGTCCTCCCCTAAGTAAATGTTAATGTTCAATAATTGCATTCATGTGTAGGGTTTGCATGCTTTAGCAGGTTATTGGGTTGTTTGAGCCCACGTAGCTGACAAACGTGGAAAAGGTTAAAAACATGGTGGAAACACTTTTTTTTATTTGCTTTTGATCCTAATAATTTGGTTTGTTGTCAGGTTGACAACAGTAACTACATTTAACACATATAGATTATACGTATGTTTAACACATATATTTGACGCATATGTTTACTTTTTTTAAAAAATGGTTACTGTGTTACATATCAATTGTAACTTAACATTATATGACTAGAAGAGTTCAAATACTTAATTTGTTCAGCAAAACAGAGAGCATCTTGTGTTTATTGGCCTTGCTGTAGAAGTCTAGGATTGTGCTTGATAAAACATGATGGATATTGACCGAGAAAAACACTATAATACTTTTTTTCTTAGAGGATAACTACACTATATTGTAGTGAGTAACTGAATCAGAAACTGACTATTTAGATCAAAACACCAAATATAAAACCATAAAATGAGTTTGTATACACATCATATAACTTGCAATGTATTCACCACAATGTCATATATTAATTTATACTGGCCTAGGTACTATAGCATATATATATATATATATCAGTATGTACAATATAATCGTCTATACCATTTTAATATGAACTTGTGTACATGTACTACTAGATTTATGTAGTTGAGTTGATTTATTCGTAATATGTAGTGTAGCCTTCATATACTACATAAAAGTTTGTGTATATATTTTTAAGATTATCTTCAATTTTTTTTGAAAAATTATTTTTATGTGGTACTCCTATGAATTAAAGATGGATCACATACACAAAATGTAGATACATTAGAAAAATAATTTTGTGTAGCATATGAAAGATGATTTACATAAAAGAACTCAACGCTAGAGTTTTCTATAATTAGCCTATGAAACATAAATTATATTTTTTTTAAAAAATTAATACATGCAAATTGAAAAATCCACACACACTTCATGTGATGTATGGAGACTATGTAAAAATTTTATATATTTTTTATACTTCTAGTAGGTAAATTAATTGTCAACCCTCTATATCTTGAAGGGCGTTTTAGGCATTTTAAAAAAAGTATGCACCCTAATGACATATTGTAGAAAAAAATGACAAAGTCGGCGATATATCTATTATATACTAAAAGTCTATTAAACTCTCTACAAACGCTCCTAAACCACCATGTGTCATCCTATAAACGCTCTCGAGTTACCACGTGGCACTCTAATAAAATATAGAATATCATAAAAAATCTAATAAACATCTAGCCATTGATTTTCTGTTAAATCGGTGGACCCATATATTTTAACCATTAAAAATCCGGTAGCCCTCATCCCCATCGTGCATATATGCGGCATGTGCAGGTACGTGCTATACCTCCCTCCCTCCGGCCTCTCTCTTTCTCTCCTCTTTTCTCGGTGACTACTCCTATTTTTTAGCTAACACCTATATCTATCTTCAGATTTTCTAGATTTTCTAAAATATGAAATATGACTATCAAAAATAGATGGAGGGAGTAATACGGATGCCCACGCATTGCGTGGGCCACCTTTCTAGTTATAGAAATAGATAAAATCAATGACAAATCGTTGAGCTAGAGTAAACTCACGGGCATATAATATATTCTCTCTTGAATATATTGTTTTCGCTAGTAAGATAGGTCGTGTGCTAGGGCAATAGAGAGATGAGGCGAGGTGGGGGTAGATCGTCCGGGTTGCGACAACTGTGGTGACAAGTAGCTAGAGTGGGCCATGTCATGGTTGCAGTAAATCAAAAGAGATGAAAAGAGGAGGGGGCTAGGTTAGGACTACAAACTAGCGCATAAATCTCGAATATTCCCAATTGTAAAAAAAAAAACCCTAAGATTTTGAAAATAAAAACCAGGCGACTGATAATACAATACTTTCTAGAAAGCTTCCTGGTGCGCGCAAATAAAATCCAAAATGCATGGCCATTATAAGTGCAAACAAGGAACGACATGGCTCCCTATATTATATCTCGGCCATCAAGCTCGGATCCAATGGCTCTGATCCAGTTTCTACACCTGTTCATCAAAATACTATCATGTATACTTGATCACAATCCTCCACAAACAACTGCAGATCCAACCAAACAGCAACTCCAAACCAGAAGCTCCCACCACTGAATAGAAAACCCTTAACAAGAAAAGCTCCCTTAGCCCTTTTCTTTTCCCTTAGGCAACCATGTCCATGCATCCCCCACCATTATTACCTCCCTTTAAATACCCCTCCCCTCCCTCCCTTCTCTTCCTCGTGCCAAAACCCCAACCAAACCAACCACCAAATCATCCCACACAAACACCACAAGCTCATCGATCCCTCTCTCAATTATTATTCGAGACAAGATCAATTAATTGCAAGAATGATCCATCAAAGAGACGGCGATCATCTAATGGAGGAGTCGACGACGATGGCGCGGCGGCTGTGGCACGTGGTGCGCGCCGTGCTGTTCATGCTGCGCAAGGGCATGTCCAAGCGGAAGCTCGCCATGGACCTCCACCTCCTCCTCCACCGCGGCAAGATCGCCGGCAACAAGGCCCTCGGCAAGATCATGAACACCACCACCGCCACCGCCTCCCACGGCCACGGCCACGCCGCTGACGCCGCCTCCACGGCGGCGGGGGAGGCGGCGGCGGCGGCGCCGTTCTCGTGCGGCCGCGCGCTCGACCCGGCGCTCGCCGTCTACGACCCGCGCGGCGCCGGCCTGGAGGTGGAGTTCAGCTGCAGCAACACCCCCTCCTACCCGTCGTCGTTCCATCTCATCCCCACCAAGCGCCGCCGCCGCAACAACAACGGCAGCAACGGCCGCCGCCGCGGCGGCGGCGGGCGCGGCGCGAACGGCGGCGAGCCCGGGTGGTACAACTACGACGCGGCGGACATCGCCCGCGTCTTCGAGATCCTCAACAGCAGCGACCAGCTCCTGGGCGACGGCGGCGCCGCCGTGGCCGCGACGCCGTCGCCGGCGCTGTGGCGCACCAGCTTCGGCGGCCGCAGCCCGGCGCCGGTGAGGCAGCTCCGGATCACCGACTCGCCGTTCCCGATCAGGGACGACGGCGGCGAGGACGCCGGGGCCGGGCTGGTGGACCTGGAGGCGGAGGAGTTCATCAACAAGTTCTACGAGCAGCTGCGCACGCAGCAGCAGAGCCTCGCCACCGCCACGCCGGACTACTACGCCGGCTACTCTCGGCCGGTCACCGGCGTCGCCTACTAGCCGGCCGGCCGCCGGCTGGTCACCGGCGATGCATGCGTGTCAATTTGCACAACTTTTTGTGCCTTAGTGTGAAGTGTGCATGTAGCCACGTAGTACGTACTAGTATATATGTGTTTGTATATGTACATGGATGAAGCATGTTTTGTAGAGAAGTGTCCACTGCACTGCAATAGTTTTCCTCTTAAGAGCTGAGAGATTTTGCATGCTTAGAATCCATGCATATATGTATATGCACTATATTAATAAATCTAGAATTAATAGTACTTATTATATACTAGTACTGTATTAGCCTAGGTAGTAGCTGCTAGTACTGTGCAATCTTGCCTAGCTTGTTTATGTTGATTGATCAAGCTTGTGTGCAAATATGATTGATGAATTAATAGAATTCAAGTCATGAAAAAAAGAAGCTATGTATATATGTACGTCTATACATGGGAGGCTCAATGATTTGATTGGAATATTTGGCTGATATATATGATTTTGTTCACAGAGTAATTAAGTAGCTAGACATATATATCTGCCATGATTTAATTAACCTTATAATCATACTGTACAATACGTTTCATGCAAGATCAGGTCCATTCCACGTAGCATTTCGTTGTCATCAAAGATTTTTTTCTGCTGTGTGCTAGTAAATTGGTTTCTTCTTGCCTTGGCCACAATTTTAAGGGGCCTGATCTGCTTTGGCTTTAATTCGATCTACGTATTGTGCTAGAACATCGTTGATCTATATATTACAACCTTTTGGTCGATCTGGTGGTACGAGTACGTTGTCAAACATCACAGAATCTTATAAATCATTTAGTGAAAGCTCACTCTTTTCTGTTCGATGGAACCTGCACATCTCATGATCTGGATTCCTTCTTTTTCTCTCATCTCTCTCTCTCTAGATCTCCCCTGATTCGACCCGGACTGAATCTATGGGTGGATCGATTAATTCTTGGTATATTCCTGCACAAATAGATCATGCGCATGCACCCGAAAAGAAGATTAATTGTTCAGATATACGTACATGATCGATGCTCCTCTTGATCTGTAACTTGAGATATCTCAGTCTCAACCGTTTCCCTCCCTAACACGCAGTGTGATTATTAGCAAGTGATTGAGTAAATTAGTTAAGCTGCTAGGGTACTGCTGAGATAATTAATTTAAGTTTTAAGCCAAGCACAAATTAAGTGCAGTATCATGTCCACATGCTGTAACAGTATTGGTTTCAGTGGCAATTAATTTGCATGATAACCCAATACACCTAGCTTTACGCTTAATATTTGAGCACAGCAACAAAGATGTGACGAGGACAACAAACTTATGTTGACTGTACGCCGTAACCTAGAAACAATGTTTATGCGGATGTTCACCAACTACGAATGAAACGAATGAAGATTCATAATTAAGCTTCAATAATTGTAGGGTCTAGACATTTCTAGTGTGCATCGCTTCCTAATGTTTTGTGTGCTATTATAGACTTGTTGGTGCGTGCTCATCATGAGCAGATTTTTTAACAATTACTATATTGACTGTAGCTCCTTCATCAAAGCATGGATTTAAATGTCTAAAAATATGCTCAATATTGTGTTGGCTAGCTACATCTGAAAGTGATATAATTAAGCTAGATTTTCTTCTCTGTTTTTTTTTTTGAATCAGACTCTGATCATACATATGTTTATGAACAATGATGTGCCCTGTAGCTGCTACTTGACTGCTCTACTATGGTCAGCTAGCTAAGCAACACATCAGAACAAGAATGTCCTTTTTTTTTGTATTTATAATTCCTAATAATTCATAGCAAGATCAAGGTCAAAAAAATAATAATTCATAGCAAGAACTTTCCATAGAATGCTGCATATATATATATGATCAGACCCCTCTACCATGTATCATGCATGCACGTACTTTTGTTTCTCCCCGGTTATCATGTCTAAATATTGTCTAGTGATTGGAAAAATAAGGAATTTATTACATCATTATTAGGGCCTCTCACTTTTGTTTCCAGTTGAAATCATCTTTTTTGAAAGGAAATCATTATCTTTATTGATGTTGATCTATAGGGATGGGCTTGACGCACATGTGTTGACCACGTTAATCCAAGTAAATTAATTGGAAAGGGCTATACGTACTAACTTTTTCTTATTAAATTTTTACTAACACTGATGTGTCATGCTACGAGTGCATCTAGATTTTTTGTAACTTCCATCTACTTAAATCAAACGGTTGAAATGATTGTTAGTAAAAGTTTAGTAAGAAAAATTTAGTACGTGTAGCATTGCTCAAATTAATTCTAGTTCTTCACAATAAGAACTAGACTAAGTAAATTAGAATTATATTTTTAATTTTAATTGAAGTCAGAATAGCGTCAATTCCATAGTCACAAACTGCTTAATATGTGAGATGATACCAAACGTACGCATATTTCGAGTATAAAGATACATCCTAAAATACGAAACTTTTTTTCTTTTTCAACTACAAAATTAAAAAAACTGATTTTCACGAAAGGTCAAATCATAGATTTTTACAAGCCCTAAATCAGAAGCAGTTCGCCCACCCGCTCGTGAAAATACATTTTGATAGCACGGGAAAATGATTTTTTAGTAGTGTCATTACTACCTCGCAAACGAACCACTGCACTGACAAATAGTACTACAAAACATCAAATAGGTATCGCCACTATAGGTGTCGGTAGTGCTAAAACCGGCACCTATAGGCCTTTTCCCACCTCCGCAGGTTGAAATCGTAAAAAACCGGCACCTTTAAGTAATTATAGGTGTCGATTCTAAATAAAAACCGGCGCCTATTATATTTATGTCGGTTTTTTTAAAAAACCGGCACCTATAATATATTATGTGTTGGTTAATTAAAAACCGACACCTATAAGATATTATAGGCCGACACCCATAGAAATCGAGCTGAGCTAGAGTGGAGCCGGCGGGCCCCACCTTGATGAGGCGACGCGAGGAGATAAGGTGCCCTTCTCGCTCTCTTCTCTCTGTCTCTCTCGCTCCCTTCTCTCTCACTCTCCTCTCTCCCTCCCTTCTCTCTCGTTCTCTTCTCTCTCTCCCTCCCTTCTCTCCTGCTGCCGGCGGCTGGCCGGTAGAGGCGGCAGCGGCGACCGCGCCCTCCTCTCTACTAGATCCGGTGGGAGGTGAGGCGGCGGCGGCAGGAGGGGAGGCGTCAGCGGCAGGTGGGGTCAGCGGTGGGCGGGGTGGCCAGATCCATTATCGGCGGCGGGCTCAAGGAGGGGAGGCAGCGGAGGGCTCGAGGAGGGGGCGGCGGGCGGCGGGCTCAAGGAGGGGAGGCGGCCAAGGGCTCGCCGGCGGGGATAAGCCCTCTCCTCCGCCAGAGCGAGGGAAGGAGGCGGCAGGGGCGGTGGGCTCACCAGGGGTTGGTGGCGGCAGGCGGCGGGCTCGCGGAGGAGACGCGGCGGCGGGCTCGTCGACGGGAGACGGCGCGACGGGAGGTGGCGCGACGGCTCGAAGACGACCGACCGTGCGATGATGACTGAAGAGGTGTTATTTTTTTTATTGCATAAATTTGAGTGCTAAAATTTGTGTTGTGGGATGAATGTTGCCAAAATTTGATATGTGGATGAATCTATCTTTGAATGTTGTGGGATGAATGTTGCCAACTTTTTTTTTTCGTGTTCATTCTATTCTTACGGATGTGGGAGGAGGGACTACTCGGCTCGATGCGTCGGCTCAATCGAGCCGACACAGAGCCGGCTTTTTTTTTATTCGTCGAACCTAAAAGGTGTCGGAACCGGCACCTTTTTGATTTTCAAATCAGTGTCACTTCCCTTGTGCCGGTTGGAAAAACTGGCACCGAAGGGGGTTTCCCAACGGCACTGTTTCCCTTTTCTGTAGTGGTGAAAGAAAATGAAAAGATAAAACTCTAAACAATTACTCCCTCCATTCCATAATATAGGGCACAACCACATTTTTCTTACATGTTCCATAATATAAGGCATGCATGCAAGCATGCAATTAACTATGACATCTTCTTCATTAAATTATTATTTTTCTAAATCCTCCACTCTCATGTTATCTAATACTATTGGATGCATGCATTATATTTATTAGGATGATCCAAACTATAAAAGATAATAATTATTTCTTGGTCTTTGGGTTAAGGAGGTTGTGCCTTATATTTTTGAATGAAGGGAGTATAAATTTAACTCCATAGACATCATGGAAGACAAACCCGAGCAAATAAACCTACTAAAAACTTGGCAGAACCCCAAACATACTTAGATCAAAATCAGAGACGTGGGGTCGCCAGGATGGATCCTGCTCCTCAACGTGGATGTTGGAGATTGAGATGAGTGCGCACTACAAGAAAATGCTTTGTAGAAATATTTTTCCAAGTACTTATAGATACTTCCCAAATGCCTTTATAGGTGAGTGCGCACTACAAGAAAATGCTTTGTAGAAATATTTTTCCAAGTACTTATAGATACTTCCCAAATGCCTTTATAATATTGTAAAGACATTTTAAAAAATAACTAATAAGTACCTTATAGCGAATTGTCTTTACAAACGAATACAAACGAATAGGTGTTTTATAAAATGTCTATAAATTTACAAACGAATATGAACGAATAGGTGTTTTATAAAATGTCTATAAAGGGGTAGATGTATTTTCTAGAGGCATTAAATTATACCATAGCCATATCAAACTCATGTAAAAGAAGCGAATAAAATGATTTCCTTTGCTATTTCCAATCCTTGAACTTAGGATCTCTTGGACAAATCATTTTTATCTTCAATACACTAACCAACTAAACATATCATTACTTATATGTTTTAAAAAAATTTAGGGTCCTCGCATCGTGCAGGTGGCTCGGGGGCACAACCCTAGCCCTTGCCGCTGCCGCCCTTCCCTCCTCCCTTCCACCTCGCCATTGCCGGAGCTCATCGCCGGGATGGTGGTGGCGGGGTCTAACCACACCGGGTGCCCCATTTCTGGCGCAGGAGAGGCGGATCAAGCACAACGAGAGTGAGGTCTAGAGGTGGAGGTGGCGGTGGCGCCCCCCCTCCCCCCAGGCGAGGGAGGCGTCGAATCCGGCACGGCCACGACAGGATACGACGATGATGGTGGTGCCGTGAGGTAGGCGTTGTAGGCTTACCACGGTCCTGATCCAAACGCTACTCCTCTTGCGGTGGCGTCTTGCCACCACGAGATGGCCACGTTGGAAGGCTAGTGCGGGGTAGAGGGGATCCATTCTTTTCTCTCACCCTCTCCCTCTCCAACCTAACTGCGTGGATGGATTTGGAGCACGCCAGATGTCGAGCACCTTCTTGATGGTCGGCCGGTGGCGAGGAGCTAGCGCAGTGGCTGCGCGTTGAAGAAGTGTGGTTGGTGGTGGCTCTATGTCTGGCAGGCATCCTCGACACGGGGAAGTAGAAAGATCATAGGCAAAAGCCTAGACTCATCGGGTCAGCAACGGTGACACTTTCCCCTTGGAGTGTTGTTGAATGAT